ACCTACCTACCTACCTACCTACCTACCTACCTAACAGCCCCTTCCCCTTCCCCATATCCGCTTCCGCAATCAGGGAACTTTCACCCTCCCTTACGATGCAGTTCCGTTCGATTACGATCGTTGTTACGTTCATTGCGCTACGCGCGCGGCTTTCCACGAGAAACCCATTAATTGGATCTGGTGTCGGGTTACCCGACTTCGATTCGCCCGATGTTCCACCACATGGAACCGGAAGCTTGTATGCACCGCCTATGCCCGGTGGTACAGTACGATTCTCTCCAGTGTCCGCGAACGAAAATGCACTCGCGGCGAAACCATAGAAAATTTCATTGCACGTCGAAACCTCGGATTCAAACATTCGAAACTCTTCGAGAAGCCAAGCGCCTCTCTCCTCTGCGCGTTATTACTCTAGTAAGATTTCTTTTATTGCGATTTTCCGCATCCAAAGTTTCGCCACTTGTATGATATATATCGATGTCGCGATAGTCTTTCTTTCTTCCTCTCTCACACCAACAAGCTGATATCCGACATCCCTTGGTTGGTTCTTCGTCTCATCTGGCGTGACGGTCGATTTTTGGAATTTTGAGATCCAGTCACTTTTCTACGTTTGCCTCGAGACTATCGTTGTTCCGAGGTGAGGATGATACATCACCGCGTGATATCGCTTTTATTTTCCGAATTATGCCGCGTCGTGAAAACAGGAAAGAGGAAGATGAAGAGAGGCGATCACTTAGAGGAAGGGGGGGGGATTCTCTTACTGACGCTGGTCTCTCAGCTGAATCCATTAGCCGGCGCCATTAATATCCTGGTAATGATGAGCGATGAGACCCCGCGCTGAGGAAGCGGATCACAAGAGAACGAGCTGCTTTCGGATGACGCAGAGGGTAAAAGAGAAGGGGAGAGAGCGAGTGAAAAAAGGGAGAGATGAGTAGACAGATAAATAGCCAGATAGGTAGATAGATCGATAGACGGATAAATGAATTGATGTGTATATGTATTACGTTACCAAGACAATGCGCGAGGAACAAGAGGGATTTCCCTTTGTAAAGAGGGAGGGAAATCATATCGAATTACTAATTGACAATTTCTAATTTATAAAACGATTTATAAAACGATTATAGGAGTATCCAGCGATCGGACTGTCCAGCAACATAATTGTTACATTTTTTTATCTTGATGATCAAAGTGGGATAAAATTTTCTAGATAAAATGTAACACACATACACACACACACACATATATATACATGGAAACGAATGGTATAATACGGTTTAAGAGGATAAAGTTTTTAGGTTCAACCGTAAAGCACTTTATACAAGCGAACACTTTATACAAATTCCAATATCAATTCAAATTTTAATTAAAATTTAAATGTGCAGATAAAGCGAGAGAGAAAAAAGAAACAGGCGATAAAAATAGAGAGAGAGAGAGAGAGAGAGAGAGAGAGAGAGAGAGAGAGAGAGAGAGAGAGAGAGAGAGAGAGAGAGAGAGAGAGAGAGAGAGAGAGAGAGAGAGAGAGAGAGAGAGAGAGTGAGAGTGAGAGGTGGGAGAGGGAGAGAGAGAAGAAAGAGGCAAGGTACAGAGATATTGAGGGTGGAGAGAGCCGGACGAAGGCAAACAGGCGCTACAACACGTTCGTACACATACAATCGCGAAAGTACGTAGATACACACGTGTGTTACACACGTGCTTGCGAGAGCTTTGATAAATGCTGCTTTCCTTGGCCCGCCGCCAAATAGCACGCCGCACAATGTATCTCGTCGCTCGTGTATTTCTCGCTGTGCCTTTCGGGGTGGGACACAGTCATCGCGGTGTATTAAACTTTTACAACTGGTAAATATATCGACCGGTTATTAAAAGCGCACCGCACGAGCGTCTCGCGGTCATCGTAGCGCTTCAATTATGCAGCTGCGGTTCTTTCATGATCCTCACTCGCGCATATATTTTGCGCGTGTTTATTTTAATTGCAAGATTTGTATAAGTGAGAAACTTTCTTCCACACGGCGATGTGTGTATGCAATTATTCAAGAAGTATTCGCGGTAACCTCTTTACCCTTTCAAACTTTCATGATACACGACCTCAGTGGTGACAGCTGCACAACTACGTTACGAGGCAAGCGCAGTGTTCAAGAAAAGCAATCGGTGTCGCGGAAAAGAGGCAATTGTGAACTTCGATTCTTCCCTGAAAACTTGGATAATTTTGACGGAACTTTGATGCTTTTCAGTTTTGGCTTTACATGTCCTTTGATACTTACGGGAGAAAGAGAAAGGGAGGACTTGATATTGCACTCGATATGAATATATTGTACATTTTTGCTATGAATATATTATTGCGTTATTTTAGATATGTTCTACAATATTGCCTTGGAACTTGCCGAATTTTATCGATCGTCTGGCAAGAAAGTAGCGTCGAAACGCGGAAAAGTGTTAATTGCCAATGAAAAATTCGACGAAGAGAGAGAGAGAGAGAGAGAGAGAGAGAGAGAGAGAGAGATGCAGCGAGACCTATTATAGTTATCTATAGGATTAGCAGTAACTAAACTAGGAACTTATCGATGATTCGCGACGCTACCGCGAACTAATCAATCGTCAAATATTGGCCGCAAATAGACCAAATAGAAAATAGATTCTCCCGCGGAAAGATCGGTTTGTGATTAATTGATGATCCAACTTTGCGGAGAATTATTTGTAGTAATTATTTGCAGTGCGCTAACTTAGTCTCGCCGAGTGTGAAGGGTTAAACTTTGCTCGACTTCACTCCGGACTTCAAACCTGGGAAAATAATTAAGCGCTCTTTCATCGCGATCGCTTACTTAGAGTTGTTCATTCATCATTCAGTCTCGCATCGAATGCCCTCATCGTCGCCGATAAACTCCCGTCCGCTTCACTTTCCGTCGCCGACGCAAGTTTCACGGGCCTCGTGAATTTCCAATAGATCGGAGAAAGTGTTTCCCAAGGACGAGGTGTGTGCTCCCTCGCGACAAGGGTAGTCATTGCCTCCTTCATGTGCCTTTCGATATATATGGTACATTGCTTTCCTCAGCGACGCTGAGTACGCGGGTAGTTTCTTTCTTTGTATTCATCGAATCTCACGCGCCGTATTGCGTCCTGCTTTTTTTCCTTCGTGTAAACTAGGCCTATCGATTCATATTTAACCACCCTTTCGGCTGCTTAACAACTCGACGTGCCCTCGAGCTCGCCCTCGGAATATCGGGGCCGGTGAATAAGTCTCGCTGTTACAGCGCCGCGCGCGATCGATGTGCGGAGAAGTCGACAATGAAAGCGACGGATCCTATCTGCCTGATCGAAAGTATCCTCCAGCCCCGGGAAATCCCTCCCCACCCTCATAAAAATCACTTTCCCTTTTTCGCAAGCGGCCCACGTAACGACGCGGAGGAGGAGGCGGCGGCCGCCGCCCCTACCTTCCTCGCCTTCGTTATACCGGGCACGTGTGCCCGGGCACTTCCCGGCACACCTACGTGCCTCTTATGAAGAATCCCGCCACAATGGAGGAAGGGGTGGAGATTCCGATACGAATTTCCGGCGTTCCGACGCCGATATCGAATATACCAGTTCGAGAAACGAGGAATTTCGGCCGCGAAATTCCCCACTTCGCGCACCCTCTCGCAGAAACGCAAAAGAGGGTCGGAGGTATTTCTCGTCGTTATCGATATGGGGGATCCGGGGATCCAAATCGATCTCCCCGCACGGCTGTCGAGCCTTCCGCAGCCCTTCCGTCGCCTGTAACCGCCTCGAGCTAGATTATCGATGAACCTCCGAGGGGGAAGTGGTACCTTAACCGGAACGAGAAACTCCCTCCTGCCGTTTTCTCTCTCTCGCTCGCGCGAAACAATATAAGAATATGGATTCGTAGGATACCGATTCTTCGTCAGATTCGGGCCATTAATTCCTCACGCTCCTCGTTTCAGCTATTGAAAAATACGGGCTCTTTCACACGATCGAATCCCATCTTCGGCTGCTGCCAGCCTTCCCTAATTATTTCATTACTCGCTGAATTCTGATGAAAACTCGGTCGAATCTGGATATCTCTAAAATCTCCTCCCCCCCCCGTGAGTCTCTCAGAAAGAGAATGAGAGAGGGCAACTCGCGTCAATTGCAACTTGCTCAACCGAGATCAACCGATACGGTGACAAACAATCGCTGTGATATCCCGTCGCCGTCGACTCCGCGAATAATTAACGAGCGCTCCCGCTGGAAGTAGCGCGCAAACTTTTCTTATAAATACGATTTGCATGGTTAATGTAACGCGAGCCTGTCACGCGCATGTGTATCGGTGTATGTGTATGTGTATGTTGCGGCGCTTTAAATATTAAATGTCACGGGCAGAGAGATGCGCCGCGACGATAAAGAGACTACGTGTACACGGGAATAAACGCAAAAGTTACGCGAGTCGCGCCGGACAGCGGCAGCTCTAAGAAGACCGACGCTGCTCCTCGCGTTCGGGCCAAAGGCGAGTCTCCGCGGCGGTGATGGGGCTACAAAGCCGCGCGCTGTCTGGACTCGGTCTGTTGGAATGAGCGAATAAGACCGCTTCCACGGCGATTAATTCGCCTTTTCCGGTATTATCCGCGCCCGCGCTGTAACGCCGCCGCGGTGTTTTGCAATTCTCTGTCGCGGAGAAACGAGAGAGAGAGAGAGAGAGAGAGAGAGAGAGAGAGAGAGAGAGAGAGAGAGAGAGAGAGAGAGAGAGAGAGAGAGAGAGAGAGAGAGAGAGAGAGTTTCTGCCTCTCGCTTTTATTCGGTCGGTCGCCGGCGGCGACAGGTCGCTTGTCAGAAATCCGCTCGGCGAATAAATCGCGATTGGCTAGGGAGGGGGGGGGAGACAGAGGTTCACGTTCGCCGGATTAATTTGGCGAATTTGCGCGACGCGACTACGCCGCGCCGCGCCGCGACGGAGCTTGTTAGCTCGTGAAAATTTCAGACACTCACAAGCCGGACATAAATCCGGTATAAATGGTAAATCCTTTGTCTCTTTTCAGATGATCGACGCCTCTTATCACACGAATCCATCGCTGCAAAGCACTGCCCTGATCATCACCTGCGCGGTGGTCCTCCTGCTGATGGCCGCGATCGTGTCCGTCGTCTTCTGGAAGTGAGTAAACCTCCCTTTCCCGCCGCTAGCGTTTTCGCGAAGACCCAAGCGCGCGCTTCATGTAACGTGGGACACGTGAAAGTCCCAGCGAGGTCGTCGAGCCGTCGGTACTCGGCTACGGCGATAAAGCGTCGGTTTCATTTCGCGCGGAACGTCGTTCGAGGCGTTCGAGGCGTCCGAGGTCGTCCGGGCTGTAACCGTATTTCAAGGATTCGAGGGGCCGGCCGGGCCGCCCGAGAGCTCCTCTTTTACAAGCCGGAAAGAGAAAAAGGGACAGGGAAGGGGACGGGGAGGCTTGTGAGGTAAGGACGAGGGTGCCAGAGCGAGAGCGAAAATGCGAGAGCGCGTCGCTCCTAAATTAGCCAAAAATAGGACAACGGAGAAGAAGCGAGCGCTTTAGCGTCTAAGCGTGCTTCCGACAGCCAAACCCGGCTGTCCTGCTTGCTCGTACCAGACGATGATCTACGAGGCGGTGTGCGCCCTCGCACCTACGTGTGGAATACATTACCTCGCACGGACTGCTAGTCGATGATTAAAACGTTCCGTTAGCGACGCTCGTCGATATTCCAGTGTTCTCTCGCCGCTGAAGTCGCGGCTACTTTTAATTGACCACCGCGCGTGGTCAGTGCGATTATGCGCAAAATATCGCGCGCTCGACTGTCCGACGGAACGATTCTCCGTGTCAACGGCGTGTCCGCGTTTCACCAACAAGGTGAATCCACGCTTCTGATCGCGCGTGAATTTTCGCGTCGCGAGTCCTTCTCGCGCGCGGCTTTTTACTCCGCTCGTCATGGCTGGCAGCGAGCGTGACGATCGGCAGGAGGAAGAGGAGGAGGACGTAAAAACGAGAGAGAGAGAGAGAGAGAGAGAAAGAGAGAGAGAGAGAGAGAGAGAGAGAGAGGCAGAGAGGCAGAGAGAAGAGCGTTACTCTAGAACGTATTCTAAATTACCCGAAAATGGAGCGCTCGAAGACGAGGCGAGAGGAGGCTGCCACTTTAATTAATACCTAACCATGTTTCCGACAGCCTGTGGCTCTGCTTCCCATATCGCGCCGAGATCTAGGTCGCGGTGCTCGAGATTAGATGATGACTTCGTAATTAACGGGGAGAGGATGCCGTATTCGCGAATTACGCTCGCGCGAGGAGAAAAGACCGCGCGTGATGTTACAATTAGCGAACACCGAGCGGAGGAGATAATGCGTCCGCGGCCTTACTCGCGCCCGCTCTCGAGATCCCCCTTTCGAGATTTTTATCTGTGTCACATCTTGGAATATACAAGCAGCCGGCGACCGAGATACGACGGGACGACGTCGGCGCACTAATGGGCCCTAAATTAGCCAAAAACAAAGCCACCGCTTCGGTACTGCAGCCTGCTACCGACAGCGCGCCCTTTCTTGCTCCTCGTGCTGCGCGCAAATCCACCGTGCACACGCACATGCGCGCACGAGCGGCGGCTGCGATAAGTTCAACGATTTAGCGTCAACGACGCTTTTTTCCCCGCTATTTCTCACGCTCTCCGCGTCCTTGCTCCGAGGGGCGGGGGGAAGGAAGGGGAGTGGGGATCCCGCTCTCAGGACTGTCGCGCGTTTTCCGCATCCGACGAAACGTAACGCCCCAAGAATTCGCAGAACGAGCAGCACGTCGAGAGAATTTTCGGCGGCGGGTTCGCGATGGCTCGGCGACGCCAACGACGGGGAGAACAGCAGGTATAATTGACATTCCGGCAGGTTCCTAAATTAGGCAGAAATAGGCCATTCCAGAAATGGGCGTGCGCCTAGGCGCTGTTACGTTCCGCCGACAGCGGAACAGCGCGCCGGTAATTTGTGACACGGTAGCTCATGCCGGCGGGGGATGGGGGGGGGCGGGGGGTTTGCGGATTCGCGGGACACGGCAAAATACATTTACCGGCGACCGGTAGCTTACTTGGGAGATTTACGGACGGGCGCGAGAGCGAGCTCTCCGAGCGGGCGCCGTTGTTCCGCGTTGATTGAACGCGCGGTAAAAAATGGCACGGCCCGATAAGACGGATAGGAGACACGCGGGAAAGTTGACAATTCGGCGCGCATCGCGTGCGTCACGTTCGGGACGGACGACGCGGGCGGATTCCGCGCCACGCGGAAAATGCGCGATCGTCCTTCTACCCCCGTCTCTCTCTCTCTCTCTCTCTCTCTCTCTCTCTCTCGCTCGCTCGCTCGACAGCGTGTAGAGTTCTCGTTTCTCCTCTTGATGAACTTAAAAAAGAATCAGGTGGATTGCGAAAACGATTCGCGATCGTGAGAGCCAAAAGGTAATAATAAAAATCTGTCGCCGAATAATATAAGAGACCGCGCGTCGTTCTCGCGTCGCTTCGCCGTACTTAGCGACGAAGATGGTTTTCGCGCTGCACGCGCGAACGAAGCGACACGGATCTGCGTCCAATCATATCGGTTAATATTTGCCCTGCGAGCTTCTCTCTAATCTCAAATATGCCTCTCGCCTAACTGGTTCCATCCGACCGTCCGCGTCATACGATCTCCAGATCGGTCGATTGACTATCAGCTTGCGATTAACTCGCCACTAATGAGCAGCGAATCCGCGCCTTGCCGTCCTATCCGACGATCGATCGGTGGGCTCTGGACCTGAAATCGACGCTCGAGAGACACAGGGCGGCCGGATTTTGGGCCGCACAGTGCCTCGCATTCACCATCTGCCGGCAGTTTTATTGGCGGTGATTCTGGCGCGCTCGACAATCGCGGCCCTGTTTTCGCACGTTTATCGTAATGACCGGCCATTATCGACGAGCACGTCGCTGTAATATCTCAAGTGTTGTACAGTTCTTACATTCGCGCTGTGCGGGTGGTATCGTGCGACTCTGTGGCACTGTGGGACGGTAATAAACACTTGTGAGCAGAACGAATTCAATTCTTTGCGGTCGTTCCAGCTCTGTGTGATCCCATAAGCTAATTAATTTATGCGTACACTCGACTCGAAAATTTGTATACACTGGTAGCGTGTTGTTGCGCATTAATTAGATACTAGAGAGTCCAAGTGAAGCGCAACTTCACGTGAAGTAATCGAATTTTTACACGGAGAAAAATATCCGAAATATCCGACTGTTAATTTTGTTATCCGATCAAATATCCGATTAAATACACCGGATATTTGATCGGATAACGAAATTAACAATCGGATATTTCGGATATTTTTCTCAGTGTACGACTCAGCTGGAAAGGAAACGCGAAGAATAACTCGAATCGCAAATTCTCATCGTGAATGACTTTTGTTAAAATTATTCAAACGGACCTTCGTCCGTCCAGGACAATCGTGACTCTGTTTCCGCATTTATTATCGTAATAGGCCCATTATCGAGCGCGATGTCTCGCGGCTCGTTACTTTGCGGGTGGCATCGGCCTCCTTTTCCCGACGCTTTGCGTGTCCTCGCGGATCCTCCTCGTCCTCGTGTCGTCGTTGGCTCTCTACATTATTATCGTATTTCCCGCGATTGCGCGTACACACACACACACACACACACAGCGCATGCACACAGACAATCGCTTGCATTCAGGACTCTTAAATCGAGACCAGATCGCTGAGGCGATTTTTATTTCAGTCCGAATTTTGCGCACGGTAAATTTCTGATTACACTTTAATGTGTCTCTTCACTTCATTTAATATGCATGAAAATGCAAAAACGATTTGCTATTTGCTATTTATACAATATCCAGTAGGTCATCGAAGGCGCACACAGCGCCAAAGTAGAAAGTATCTCGAGAAAGTATGCGAGAGAGCATCGTTGTACGATAATTGTTTAAATGTAGTATCATTGCTCTCCATTGTTCGTACATATCACAACTCGCGTGCTGTTTTAGCGAGATGGAGGCTGCAAATCTAGGTTCTTGCCACCGGGGGCCAATGATTTTGGTTACGACACTGCGCACACAATCAGAACGCGGAGAACCGACACGGCCGGGCGTAGTTTGTATGCTAATCAGAATCGTGTTCCTTCCCATCCGCGCATCCTCGCCGCTATCCCTCCCCGCCCTCCATTGCGGATTCTAACTATCGTTGACTCTATTTTCCATCACGTCTTAGCTTAGCTTAGCGTATTCGCGCCCTTGTTCGGCGCCGCGTTCTCGCGCCGAACGCGGAGATCCGTCCGATTGCGAGAATTTTATTCGGAGATACGGCGATCGTAATCGAGAAACGCGGAGCGAATAGCCAACATTTGGCGTTAAATATACGGCCTGAGAGCGCGAGTTTCGATCTCGTGCTCGCGAGAGTGAATTCAGCTCTGAAAAAATGCCGGTTTATCGTCCGCTACGGTGAGGAATTTTGTTTATTTCTTTCATTACTTCACAATTGATATAATTGAGCATTACGAACAATAAATGACAAATTTCTACGTCACATTAAACATTGCATTGATAATAAGTTATGGTAAATTAAAAAATACTTTGCACGCGTGTGATCTCCACTCTCGGAAAAGGAACAGGTGTGTCGCCGAAAGAGCGAACTGCAAACGGCACACGCTAATTTAAAAAAATAGGGAAGGACCAGTTTATCAACATTTTCCTCTGTAAGATAACGTCAGCCGGCGCAGATTCGCGCGAATAAACCGGAAGAAACGAATTGCGACAGAGCGGAAACGACGCGGGCTCCCACTCCTCTCGGAGCACTTCCCCGCCGGCTCTTTTCCCTTTTCCTCCATTTCCCGTCGCCTTACCGCGCTTTGTCTCCATAAGCCACATTCAGGTCAGCGGCACGAGGTTGCTTTAACGATCTGCATTGCATGAGCGTTTCGTTCTCTCGTACGCCGTTCGTCTCGTTTCCACTTTTACAGAACGTCGGTTACCGAACTGAGGCCGCGAGGAATTTTCGAAAATGTTCGAATGGAAACGGCATGTCGAAGGTTCGTTTCGAAATTCCGCGTCCTGGTTTCCGATCGTTGTCTCTGTTTTCAGAAATATTTACGTTGGCTGGCACTCTCGGCTGTTTCCAGTATCTCTGAAAACATCGACGAGTAAACATGAAGAATGAGTCTAGTTGAGAGCGGATGAGAAGGTTGAAATGTTCCGTACATGAAGGATGGGAGGGAATAAATTAAACCAAAAGCCGTCGAAGCCGATAGTCGATCCGCTGTCCTGAAAGATTTCACTTCTGTTCCGTCTTTCTCTCTTACCTTATCCTCTCTCTCTCTCTCTCTCTCAATTCCTTGTTGCGACTCAATTCGAGGATGTACACGACGGTTGACAAACACAAGCCACGGTTATTTTACATGGCAAACAAACGAATCGGACGATCGGCTTTATCTTGTTTATGCCTTCGGTCCGTCCGGGACCGAAAAATCCCATAGCTGTTTCTCGAGTAACGTCGAGCTCCGTCGTTGGAACACGGCCGCCGGCGTCGCGACGACCGCGACGGCGGGTAAACATGTAACCGGCGATGTAATAAACGGCCGAATTAAAAAACGCCGACGGAAATCCATTCGGTGTAGAATTGAGTTTTTAATTCGCGGAATCACGGGGCGGCTCTAAAACTCACGCAAATCCCTCTCTATTCCTCCTCATTCCCTGTAAAGAATTAAATTGAATTCTTCCGTTGGGGAACCGGAGGGCTCTTGTAACGAAACAACCGGAAATTAAAGGGTTAAACTTTCAGTATTAGAGAAAGTAAAATATATCGGCAGAAATGCGCGTCCTCGGCTAACCAAATTGAATTCCTCCGTTCGCTTCTTTTCCGGATCTTACTTTTCCCACTCACGAGCGAACGTGATGGCAACTTTTTCTCTTTCCGCACTCCCCCCCCCTCCCCTCTCTCCTCCCTTCTTCTATCTCCCTCATTTTTCGCCCTTAACATCCAACACTCTCTTACCCTCGCGTCTTCTTCTTTCAGCTGTCTGTTCGAATGCACCATTGAGTTCACGCTCCGCTCAAAACCGAATATGCTTTTTGCGTGCGTGCGGGAGTGAAATTGAGAAATAACAGCAAACATATCTCGCGCCGCAAAGTACGATCCGACAGGACGTAGCGCTCTCGCACGTGCATACCGTACGAAAACTGGCAATTATGTAAAGTGGACCCGGTCTCTCGGCATACTTAGACATCACACCACCGCCCTGATGCATCTCCGTCGTCTAGGATGTTGCAGTCATTGCTTGTTAACGCGCGCAGCCCGAGTATCCTAAAAAAAAAAATATATATATATATATATAGCTAATCCTCTTTCGTGCCTTCCGGCGCGGCGCGGACGCCCTTCTTCTTCTCGCACTCGCGCGGTGCACGACGTCGGTAAGAAACGCACGTGCAAAAAAATCGCGAGATGCACTCACGGATATTACCGAGACATCGGTGGGAGGATTACCAGACGCAGCTGGATCATTAGGATCAAACCGTGGCGGAGCGCAAACGAAGGCGCGAGATCTCAGGCGGAAATCCGAACGTAATGCGCGCGCATAATCCGATTTTGAAAAACTCCATTTCGCGCGTCATTAAGGGGACTGGTGGGTCGTGCTTGTTTTTGATAATATTTTGTGACGAACTGAATAAATGTGCAAGAATGAAAAATTTTCGGTATAGTTGTACAACATATGAAGAGTAGAAAAATTTTGTTTATTAACAAATACTCGTATAAATATACGATATATATATAGCTGAAATATGCTCTCCTTTTTTTTTTTCAAGTTATCGATTTTGCAGTAATATCTCGGTGATCTCCGATCAGAGCGAATTTTAGCTAGAAATCTTGAGGAGACTTATCATTATTCGGTGAACCACTAGAAAAAAAATCGAACAAAATTAACAAAACGGCAACTATTATTGGGAAAAAATTCAAATTTTTCAGTTCTTTTACAATAAAAGAATCAATATCTCGAAATGAAATATTTTGATGGAGTTGTTCATGGTTCACCTGAGAGCCACATGAACAAATATTATTGCTTTAAAATTTCAAATCGATACGAAGCTCAGTTTCGCAGAAATCACTGCAAAAAGTTGAACAATAAAATTTCGAGAAAAACGCGTTTAAAATTTATTTATATTACATGAGTACTTGTTTAAAAACAAAATTTTTCTACTTTTCGTATGTTATATAAATATATGTAAAATTTTCATTCTTCAGTTTTCGATCACGCGTTAAATACGCGTGATCGAAAACTGACTCGGCAAAGGCCGTTTTATATAAAGTACATTGCAAATTAATTATTTATTATCAGATTTTGTCACGATAACATGGCGTGTTCTGTGCCTTAAGGATAATTAGGGAAAGTCTCGCGGAGGAAACTCCACTTCGGGGAAAGCGGAGGATGTGGAAGTCCTCGGCCACGTCGGAAACAGTTCGGATAAATTAATGTTAATATTTACCAAAGCCCGCTTAATATTTACTTCCTCCCCGTTGCTTTCACATTTACGGCAAATATTTCGTCGGTCTTTTGAAATATTCGATTGAACATCCCGCGTTATTCGATCGATCACACATCGCGTGAAATTCGATTTGAGCCGAGTCTCCCAGTTTGTGAGGCAAGCGGTGCAAAAGCGATCTTGCTGAATTTCGAGCACTCGCGTGCGCGCGCGCGCGCGCGCGCGTAAATCAGCAATGTTCCATCGTCACTCTTGGCGTCGCGTTGCCCATCGCTTTATTTTACGCACTTACGTATGTACGTGGTAATCGGCGCGTAATCAGCAGGCCATTGTGAACGCGGCGCATCACAGGGAGAGGGGGTGTTGCGAGGGAGGCGGGGACCCGTTGCAACACTTTGCAACGCGTTGCATGCGATATACCGCCGCGTAATATGCGCGGCTGCAATTTCGCCGGTGATTCGACGAATTATCGCGGGGGAGGGCGAGGGAGCACCGGCGGGGGAGCCCGGGGGTGCGAAGGGCAGGGAGAGAACACCGGCTGATCCACGCTCGTTGTTTCTACATACGCGGTCGGAAGGGGCGGTCTGGCCCGGTCTATGGATAATTTAACCCACGGCGGGCCTGAATGGGTTATAATTGGTGATGACAGGCCATCACGTGGCGGCGCATTCACCTCGCCAGGAGAGAATGTCGTGTTCGAGGACACGCCGAGTCCTTCGCGAGCGACGGGATCTCCTGATGATGCCCCGGCACGTCGCGCGGCTTGACGCGACATAACGCGTCATAACGACGTGCGAGAGCTTCCTCCCCTTCCCTTTCAACCGTTGAATTTCGAACTTTCGACGCGTCGAGCTCCTCTTCACTCTCGACTTCGTGCGGGCTGGCCGTTCCTCTTTCATTTCTCTCTCTCTCTCTCTCAAATTGTCGGACATTGAAATGTCGAAATTTTAGGATCATCGCCCACGAGCTTTTTCGTAGCTTCTCAACCGCGTTTCCCGACCATCGAGCCGACCCTGAGCTGCCTCGAGCTTACACGAGACGGTGCTTGGCCGTCGCTTGGCGGATAATCGCGGCTTGTGAGTTTAATGAGATAGAGAATGAGCGGTTGATAGATGCGTTCTTCAATTTACGCGAGACTTAAGCTCCTTTGCGGAGATCTCTCGCATAACATGAATACTGATCAAACCTGGCCTGGCGCGTCTCTCGCTCGCGGGGGCTTTGTTCCGTAAAATGACTGATCTTCGAGCTTTACCGTCCGTCCGTGAGACTCTCTTCACGGAGCGATGCTCCAACTTTAAACAAGCCTCGTGATCGCGTGCACTCTTTGATTGAAAAGCCCGAGGGCAATATTTTAAAATAGCGCAAGATAATTGCCCCGGGAAGCACGTGTTTCTACGTAATATATGCTTTGTACCACGTGAAGTGAAAGAAGAAAGTTATTTCTTCGTGGAATAAATTTGCGCGCGAAAGAAAGGAGAGAGATATTTACACGACCGCGAGGTTCTGTTGAGATATATCGCTCTTCGCTTCCTATTAACAGACTGAACATATGATGGAACACTTCACGGTAACATTTTTCTTCTCTCCCGTCTGCAGCGACATTATTCCTAAAAATAAAATTTCCTCTCCTAAAACCGATCCACGCATCACGCTGAGATACGCGTATCGAGATCGAGTATCGTGTTATCTCGCGTATTACTTTTCCATCGCTGAATTTGCCCGATTTCGCATTTATCGAGTCAGCCGTAATGGCGATCTTTCGATCTCGCCCGGGCGTCTTTTCCGAGCGTTACGACGAGCGCAATCACGGGGAATGTAACTGAGATACGCGCGCTCGTGTATCTCCGGGATATACGGGAGCGTAGAATGAGCAGGCGTATCCTTCCAGTGTTGCATGTCGCGCGCGCATACGCACACGCACGCACGCACGCATGCATGATGTGCCCATTTCGCAGTGAAGAGGATCGAGCACGGGTCGTCCGTCGCGGCGCGGCGCGGCGCGGCGCGGCGCGGCGCGCCGGCTCGATTCAATTACGAAAGTACGAGGCTAATTCTCGTGACGCTGACGTGCGCCGTACGGCGCAGCTAGATGCACCTTTCGCGCGTCGCATCGATGCGCCAATTCGTATCCGGTCGTCACGACGTGATGCAGCACCGTGTCCTGTCTCCAGTTTTGGCCAGCGTTGAATGCCTCGGCGGTATAGATATCCTCTCTCTCGCCGTTCCGCCGGTGATATACTCGCGGATGCGACCTAAGAGGGGGATAATAAAGGGAATCCGACGGGGGATGAGAGGAACTCGAGAGGGAGTACATCGCAGTGCCTCTCATTTGCAGATCTGCGAATGGTACGGGATCGTTGGGAATAATCGGGCGGGGGGGAGATGTGGTGAATGAATGACAATCGCCTTTGAGTACATTCCTAGATATTTATCTATCTCCGAATCCCCCCTAAATTATACTCGACACATTCCCAAGACTGTTTTGTACTTTGTAACATCCTGCGGGGAAGGCAGTTCCGGTCCCCTCGGGTCTTCAAATGCTCGCATACTTGGTCTCCTCGACGCGGGGAGTCCCTGAGTCACTCCGATCCGAGGGTGTACTTGAATTTTCGCGACTTTGAGCACTTGGACGTTGCGGGAGCTCCTTTATAGTTCCTCTAGTAAGATCCTCGCTTCGCGTGACTGCGACATCGCAGACAGACTCGCGCGATTCGTATCGCATCGCGGCGGGAAACTGAGAGACCCTGTTTAAGAGATGCGCGGATCGCGCACAGGTCGGCCATTACCGCGGTCGCATTCCATTGTAGTCTCGCAGACAGTGTTATTACCCTAACCGTCCATAATTACGTCATCGTCATTGTCCCCGCGCATGTATCCCCATAAATGCCACACGGGCCCTTCGGTCCTACGAGCATCCTTCTCTGCTCTTCCCTCCCTCTCTTCCTTCCTTCCTTCCTTCCTTCCTTCCTTCCTTCTCCTACGCATGCCGTCATCAGATCTGTGACATTCGCACAAACGTCTGTGCCCTGACGCCGGCTCCCGGACGACGGCCCACGTGGACACGCGGTGCGACACGCCGCGACGCAGCACCGTTTACCCTCGCCGGCATAGAACGCGGCGCCCTGCCTGAATGCCGACACCCGGCTGCGTGTGTGTACGCAATAAGTTCCCTTCACGCATTTCGGTGCGCGTGTGCGCGCGTCTCCTACACAATATATATTATTCGTACACAGAGCGCACACGTACACACGAGCGCGCGCGCATGTGCGATCGCAGTGGTGCGATTACTCACGTGCGCTAATATTCCTGGTTGAATCGTAACGTTCGTGTGGAACTGATCAAGCATACCGGGATGTTTCGAGGAGGCTTCGGGCGGGATTTCATTCGTTGTGTGTCCGCCACGTCATCAATCGCACGCTCGAACTTCCTCGAGAAAATAAGTGTGCACGGGGGGGGGGGGAATATTGCGGTGCGAGTTGCAACGAAATTTCTATTTATCTACAAATGTCGTGCGCATTTTGACCTTTCCTTGTCTGCACACATTCTGCGCAGTGGATTGGTTCCTTTTGTTTCTCGTTATTCGCTATTTCTGCGGTAATTTGGTGGTGGTGAAACGGTTTTAAAAGAGGAGAGAGAAGAAGATCGTGTTAAAAGATCAGCACGAACAGATCAGGTGACCAAGCTGAAGCTGAAATAAATCACCGAGCGCGGTCCTGAAGCAACGCGATACTTAACGAAACATCGCCGCCCGGTCTCTCTCGGGCGATTTGCGACCGATAAATAATAATGCTGAAAATGTTCTCGCCGCGTCTGAAATTTCGCCGG